GGGGGAGGGGGGAGGGGGGGGGTGGTGAATAAAACATTTCAGCCATTTTACCGACTAATCGGGCAATTAATCGACTCCATTTTAGCATTTTATGCCTAAAGGATACACTGAAGAGGTATCTTAAGAGACCACTGAAACCAAGGCGGTTATGAAATAAAAGTTCAAAGATATGATAGTATCCCGCTCCACTAAATCTAATGGATCACATGATGCTTATTTCACCTGACACCGTAGAGAATTCACAAAATTTTTTTGGAAAACTATTAATTATGACTTCTGGCTTCAAAGTAATGCGATATTATTGAACTCCCAGATGATCAAGCCATCGGTAAAAACAGCACTCTTCCATTTTGGGTTCTTACTCACCACGTGCCTACTCGTAGAAACTTGAGTCTAACGGCCTTTGTCAATTTTATACCTATGATTACACCCACACCCAAAGCCCAGGATCTCCTAACTCCTACTTGCCAATTTTAAGTACTGATTCAACCAATTATAAGATATAAACCATGAAATTAAGCCCTTGACACCAGTAGTTAACACAAAGTAGCACCGTAATCAAATCTAATGGTCAGCTATGATATCTGACCCAAAACCCTTGTAAAGATCATCAGAACTCATCTACCAAATCCAAAAGAAAAACGGACTTTTTTTTCACCTAGAATCAAAGACAAATCTCACCTTTGTTGAAGTCCACCTCAATTACACATTGGCGTCTCAATATGATGGAGATATCTTAATTCACTCTTCTGCAAAGAAATTGAATAAAGTCCAGGAGCAGATGTAGCTAGTATTCTCTAAACACCCAACACAGCGTCACAATTCAAAGTTTGCTCTCAGTTTCCGAATTGCATGAAAGAGCTCCTTGCGAGAAATTCAGTGACATCACAGCATTTCACCACCCCATTTCCCCTCATATGCCCAAACTACACACATGCAATAAAGTGACTTAAGGTGTTAACTTGGCTCAAACTCGTGGCGGCTCAGCTAATCTGCAAGTACTGGTAGAATCTCGATTTAAATACGGTTGATATGAGTGTTTGGATCCCAAGATTCCCCTCCCCACACCACCCCCTTTTCCTTAATCAATTTATTCTCTCTTTCCATGCTTCAAATCATAGTATTGTGATCTGTTAAGTTGGACTGCTTGTTGGTAGCAATCGGTCGTTGTCTACAGCCTATAATTGACTAGATTCTAGCTCTTCAAAATCCTTTGTTTACTAGTATCAAGTAAGATGTAAGAACATTGGTCAAATGACACATTTAGTGTGCGACGATTTCTATTAATTCGATTACAAACATTAACCTACATATATCAAATCCTAATAGCCCTTGTTAAATAGGCACGTGTTCTATTCGACAGTGACCTTAGTGAGTCGATCTTAAAATAAAAGAAATTGGTCAAGCTTTAGTCGACGAAAAAAACCCGAATAATGATATAATGAGGCGATGCAGTTCATCAGAAGTAAATATCACTTTCATCAGGTAACGAATTAATCAAATTTCTAAAAGTCATGCAAATGATGACTGTGCAACCTAAAGATAAGCACAAGGCTAGATATGAGCGCGAAGTACTTTATTACTGCTGACGAAACGGAGTACTTTAATTTGAGAATATCTTCTATAAAGTGAAAAACAACAAAGAAAAAGGAGGAATATATTTATTTGATAATTTTGTACCTTTTGATTCCACATTTCAATAAATTCTAATGGATCAAATTGACCAAGTGATGTCGTAATAAAGTGCAACTGCATTCAAATGTCAGTGTTATAATTAAATAATACAAAAATTCCCTTTTCTTTGAAGAATTATTTTTTATTTTTCTCAATTAATTAAAATTGAAATCATTCCAAGATATGAAGTTTAACGTAGGCGCTAATATACTAATGTCTGGAATCGTTTTCACATTAAATAGTCGCAATGTTTCATGTTTACCAAAAATTTAAGAAAACAACTGCCTGACACTTTTTAATGGTTGACATTGGAGGAAGAATAACATATTCCCCACCAAAAAAACTGATTTAGTTGTTTTATAACATGAAGCCTGCCGTTTGTTATAAATACGTTATTAAATACAATTTAATATACTGAAGTAAAAAAACGAGAGCTCAGACAATTTCTCCTTCAGTTTGTTAATTAAGTTCTCATCAAGTTGAAGAGATCAATAAAAAACAATTATCTAACGAAGCAACACACTCACCAACAAAAGGACTGAATTGCCTAGCCAATAAACAATAAAGAGTGTAAAAGAATTCGTCATCTTCAATACCCCCATAGAGTTCAAGGGGAACTTTGGAGAGTGTGGAGATGACTACGTGTGTCGCGGATGGGTCGATCGGTCGTCTGTTCCTATTGACAAACTGTGGAGTGGGGTCTTTGATGGCTTCCAACTCCCTGCACGCTGGACAGTCTTCCTTTTGGTAGACTGGGAGAGAGAAGTGGAAACGCTGAACCAACTCTGTGGGGAAAAACAAAACAATAGAAGGTACACTTATATAATTGGAACTAGAATTTTTTCGACCCTCTCACCACCAATTTCGGGGATAAAAATCCTTGCTAATCCATTCGGAGGTCTAGTCTATCGAAGAATGAGCTATTTTCACAAAGACAACAATTAACAGGGTTAGTTAAAGTCGAGATTGTAGCGACGCCCCGCCAGAGTGTGAGACATAAATAAATCATCAATATGTTGTGTAACATGACGCGACTAGTATAATTGGAATCGCGCAAATCTAATTGTCTTATTAAACTATTTGATTTCTATGGTACAGTTATTTAGGAAGTGAATGGTGAGGGACACGTCATCGCATTCCTGAACGCCAGGATTGGGAGGTGCGACCGTACAAACAATGACCAATCATTAACCTCTGTTTGTTTAACCTAATCCCCCATCCTGATCATGAGTAGCTTCCTGCGTGTACGCTTTATCCGCATTATACGTCCTGAATAAACGTGCTCCGTCCTACACGTCTGTTTCCTTTATAGCTGGGCTATAGCTTAGCGCAACACGTCTGTTTCCTTTATAGCTGGGCTATAGCTTAGCTGAATTATACGTCTGTTTTCTTTATAGCTGGGCTATAGCTTAGCTAGTTCGGGAGTCTAGCTAGATGTAGGAGAATCTGCCAGAGATTTCTCGGGAGTCTAGCTAGATGTTGGAGAATCTGCCATAGAGACTTAGAGAGCTATAGCTTAGCTGTTCTGGGAGTCTAGCTAGGTGTTGGAGAATCTGCCATAGAGATGGAGTCGGTCAGGCTTTCTTAGGGAGCAATCCGCTACAAGTCTACAAAACAATATACATAACTAGCGTAGCAATCCGCTACAATAGCCAAATGAAACAGAAATTTCTCTTTAAATATCTGGGGAGCCCAAATTAAAATGTCAATAAAGAAGGAAATTAGAAACCATATTTTAGTAAATGAATTTAAGTGATATACGAGAACTATAACACACACACAATAGTAAAACTTCTTTTATAAGAGTTAAATAAAAAATCAGCGAGTGAGTAAAAATATTTATCCATTTAGTCAACAACGAATGTAGAGGAGGGGCCAAATTCACTCAATTTGTAGTTATTTATTGACTAACTTTTAAAATGCTAGCGATTATCCCTTATCAAACGTTTCAAAAATCAATCTTACGAAATTCTTGCCAAAGAAATAGGCAATTTAGTAAAAAAATCACTTATGCAAACAAAAAAAGATAAGAAGAGATATGGTAAACTGTGCCACGTCAAATATACAGTTGCAATGGACAAAGGTGATAATAATAATAATACTAGAGGAACTTACGAAGCCAGATTTTACTGCGCCATAGAATTGAGGCAACAAATCGGGGATACTTGAGGAGTGGAAAGTACCAAGGAGAGTCATCAGAAGAGGAGAGAGGTGAGATAGGCGCGATACGACCACTACGCACATTCGGAAGACTGTAGTTCTCATTGTTCACTTTTACTACCAGTCGAGATGTCCAACGGATCTAACGATGCAAAGCACAAATGAAGGAAAATTAGCTTTCTACATCTCCCCCCTCCCCCACCCCACCACCACCCCAATTAATAAACCAAACCAGACCGTAATTGTGATGTATTGAAAACGACCTCATCCTTTGCTTGTTCATATACGCTCTTCCTCTTCTCCTCCCCCCATAGGCTACCCAGCCAAACTTCACTCACTTCCTTAAAGCAATAGACATGATTCCGATTCTAAGTCTGCCCGTGATTTTTAAGCGGTTTTCTAATAATAAGACCCGAATGCACCTAGTAAACTCCACTACGACGACCGATAAGATATAAGTAAGAGTAAAGCATACAGTGCAATCTGCAAAGCATCACAAGTAGGAGTTGACCAATGATAACGGAGGCTCGGGACCCATTCGGGTGTTAGATAAAAGAACAGGGGGAAATAGTTGGGGATTTCTTAAAAGTGAAAACAAAATTGTCAAAGGAAAACAGAGGAGAGGATAAAAAGGGAAAGGAGTGGGAGGGGAGGGGGCTCTTAAGAGAAATTTTGGAAATAAGTAACTCATTACACGAAGCCATTTAATTGACGGGGAAAAATTACAAGGGAAATGCATTACTGCCACAGTCTCTTACTTCATTAGGGAGTCATGATTGGCATGGTTTCCATTATCTCGGCTCCCTTTCTAACTGAAGAAATGGAAGAAAATTACGGCAATATATTTTCTTACAACAATTGCCATAATTCCAAGTCTATCTATTGAGATAAAAAGCCTTTTTTCCTATTTTCAATGCCGAGGAAAAGGGGATTTCTTGTATGGCTTCATTAACAAAGGACCTTTAGAGCTGAAAACATCGTTTTGTTAAAGACGGAATAACAGTAAATAGGCTTTAAAACAAATTCTACAAAAGTGGTCTCAGAAAGGAGCTATTAGAGGAGACCAATTTGTGAAAAAGAAGGTGGGTGTGCAAAATCACATAGATCACACTTCTTTTGAAATTTCTGCTCACTTTTTGTAAAGTGTGCATACTACATAGCACCATGTCCAAAAACATTGGTAAAGTTTGAATGTCCGAATTAGACGCCTAGGTTCTTGATAGGCTATTGACCATTCAATTGAATCTACTGATCTCATACTCACCTGACGCGTTAAGTTACCTGCTATGTAAGAGCTAATTAAGGTTGGTGGCATCATATAGGTGCCGGGTGTCTTAAGGCTTCTGATTACCATACATACGAGAAAAAAGGAAAATGCGGACAAAACTTCGCCAAAAGTAAAGGATAAGATAAAATTCACTCTTAAATACCATCCGCGTAAAGAGGGGCTAAAGAGACCATCTTAAAGAAAGAGAAATTTTAAGATTATGAACCTAGTAAGAACAACTTTTACTAGTGACATGCATTAGTTTAATAATAATAATAATAATAACAAACTCTTATTCTCTCTTCCAGATACTTAAACCTCCAGTAGTTGAAGTCCAGTAGAAGTCCGCGTCTTTTATATCCTAGAGTCGATTTTTGAAAGTCGATTAACTGACAATGTCGGCATTCCAGAACAAAGGTTCGCAGTAAAAGGCGCTTTCATAATTGCCAGATTTGGCAAATGTAAGAGATATAAAATGAAAGACATGTCAGCCCATTGCGAGAAAGAAGACCGTTTAGCCAAATATTAAACTACTTTATTAATTATGACTTTAAGATGATTCTAGTGAAATAAGCAGACAGGTAATATGAAAATTCGGACCACAGGGTATAAAACTCATAAATACCAGATATGGTATTTTCTCAAGGTTACATATTGAATAAAATAATTTTCCCCACATGAGATCGGAACACTCCTCTTACGAATTTTACGTTAACTAAGAAAACCCGAGTCAGCTGTTCATCTCAACTCTTGTTCACTTGATTTGGTAAAGTTGATTAGATTGTAAAGTGATGTATACAAATACAGCTCAGCCGAATCATAAAAGTTAATCTGCTTGGAATTAATGACACAAAATTATTCCAATGATGAAAAGGATTCCCTTTGGATTGGTGTATCGGACTTAGCAAAAGTAAAGCGCTTGAAAGTGATTCAAGAAGGGAATTTACATCAATTCCACGTTCCAAAAGTCTTCCAAGAGCATGGGGTAAAGGAAGTGGCAAGAGGAGCTCATCAGTAGGTCGAGTAGCAACAGCCAGTGGTGGGAGGTCAGCCAGTTGAAAAATTTGCAGGAGATTGAACAACGGCAAGCCTAGGGAATTCGGAGCCTTTGTGTAGTCTGTCTCCTCCACCTTCACAAGTCCAGAGAGAGCATCTCTCTTTGAAATTTTGCTGGTGACATCGTCATGGTTATCATAATCGTCGTCTTTATGCTGCACTGGCACAAAGGTCTCCCATGGAGTGGCGATTGAAATGACTTTTTGGCCATTGAAGTTATAGGTTTGTTCAGCCCAAGAGAAGGACACTTCCAACTCAGTTCGATAAGCAGTGCAATCCGATGTGGGACGAGCGAGGTTCTGCAAGAATATGAAAAAAACTAGATTTAAAGCCCCAATATACAAAGAGAAAGTTAAATAAAAAGAAGCTCCAATATTTCCCAACGTTAAATCTCAACAATTTATCTATACTGAATAGAGGCATTGATAATCTGGCAGATAGTCAGCAAGGCGAAGTTTTTCTTCCAACGAAAGAATAGTCCACTTTAAAGCAAGGAATAAGCATAAAAAATTTTCGCCTGTTAAACCAAGAGTACTGGCGAAAGAATTCTAGAAACCAATGAAGGAAGATTGTGAATGAAACAGACCGAAGGTGTTTCAATTCCCAAACAGGTTGAGAATATTATCGGGGTTTTCCGAAAGCTTCCCCATCTGAATAAGCGCCCGTGGGCTCTTATTTGGTACCAAAAAATAGTTTCACGAAATGGAATTTTCCGTTTAACCTCGGTGCTAATATTTCAGAAAATTCAACTTAGTATACCTACAAATACGACAACGGAGGTCAAACATTTAATTCTCATCTAAAATGAAATTCAGATGTCGAAGAAGCGTAAGAAAAAACAATCTCCTAAATTGACGACAGATGGACGGAAGTTTAGTGGGAAAACATCTGGTCCAACATTCTATACTGAAGCTCTGAAAACAGAAATTGGGAGATAATTCCCTGATCGACAGTACTTTGCTTGGTACAAACCTGTTGATCGTTTTAAGGACAAAACGGTTTCGAAATCACGTCAATATTTTTAGTGCGACGAAAATGTATTTAAGTATTTGAATGAGTGGCATTCGAATACGGTAACAAATCACTCCATAAATCTTTGACTTAACTAATGTTCAATACTTAACCCAGATCAGGGAACCCGCCCATAAAACTAGCGAGCGCAATCGATGCCCACCACAAGGAGAGAAACGGAAAAGCTCTGTTAGCTCGAAATTTGGCGGTTCACTAAGTGCAAACCGCACGCAGGAGAAAATGATTGTTGGTAAACCCTAGTCTCATGAAATGACCAAAGACAGAATAGAACATGACATCCTTTAGACCATCAAATACAAGTATAATACGCCACACAGAAGCGACAAGCTTATGAAGTTTTTAGGCAAAGAAAAAATAAAAATGCATAAATTAATCATTTATTTTTTCGTATATTTGCAAATAATAGGTATTGGACTGAAGAAAAATATTGATATTACTGAATTAATTTTAAGTAATATCACGTGCTAAATTCATTGATGGCTTAGGAAGATGAAGTAAAAGTACATTTGTCAGTATTTATGAAAGCTCTTCCTAGCGTGAAGAATTTCCCTCTAAGAAATGAATCCATATCGATAGAGCACGATTTATTCGCTAGGTTCATTTTTTAGAGGAGGTGAAACTAAGAGAATTCAATTTCTTCATTTGTAAATGAAGTAAAGGAGTATATAAACACCCCGATTTCAAAAATTCCTTTTAATTTCCTCCGCATGACTCATAATTCTGTTTTAAGATGAAAATAATTTAAACCTGGAAAGATATAACACTACACAATTATTTTTTCAATCAAATCACGAGCCAAAGATATCAAAGATGAAGAGGAATACCTTGAGCTTTCTAGAAACTTCGTCTCTGTCAATGTCAAGAATAAGTAAATAGTATGTTACATTAACAATATTCATTTATTCGACTTATCTCTTTCTTTCACTTCTGTTTCATTAAATCTGGATGAATACAAAATGAAGAAAAAGCTGGACGTACCGTCAACTCATTTGTCAACATCTTGTCCAATTTAAGCTGCAATAAGCAGTCAACCGACGACCCCTTATAGGCATTTGGATTCTGCGCCAGAGTAGGTTCAATGATCCTTAGTGGTGAGTCCACCGAAGTGAGGAAACGGATCTCGATACCTACTTTGACATTTCTTCCAATCACCACTCGTGTCCAGTTTTCCTCTGTCGACTTAGCCATGGGGACATCGGCGGCCATTTCAATGCAGAGTTGAGCCAGGAGACTCTGCTCGCCAAGGATTTGAGTAGGAGAGGAGGGATCTTGATACCAGGCATCCCAAAATGCGGTCGAGTCGGCTTGAAGCCAGATTGTTCCACAACTGCCATTGGTGTTCGGGTTGTCCTTGAGGCGACAGTGTTGTGTTGATGGAATAGATGTTAAACGCATTGGCAACTGAAAAAATGCAAAACTAGGCTAAAAATGCTCAGAAGAGTCAATTAGATATGGTCTAATAAAAACAATATGCAATAATACCTTTACGATCGTACCTGATCTTAATTGTACCAACCGAAAGATAATTAGGTGTCTCCGTGATGAGAAAGTCATACTCTTGACTACACCAAACCAACGTAGTCACAACATTCATGGAATACATTCTCATGAGTGCCAAAACGGTGCTGACTATTATATCACGTACATTTAATTAGTCAGAATTGATACAAAGTTATGCGGACATTGGTAAAACAGAAAATTTTATTATAATCTATTTATTTATATCAAATGGCAGGCGTTTTGATAGTTATCAATAACCATTTAGTTGACTTCAGGCTTCACAAAGGGGAAGGAATATCACAAAGGTAGAAAAAAGGTGAGGTGAGTACTATGGAAGTAGTCGAATATGACATACAGTGGGGTGATGATAGTTTGAAGTCAGAAGTTTATTTATTTATTTATTTCAAATGGCAGGCGTTTTGATGGTTATCATTAGCCCTTTAGTTGACTTCAAGCTTCACACAAGGGAAGAACATCAAAGTGGGAAAAAGTCGAGAGGGGGATAGAAGAATGAATTACAGATGTAAAAGCGACAGACAGACACAAAGGCAGAGAAAAGGTGAGGTGAGTACACTGATAGTGGTCGAATATGGCATACAGTAGGGTCATGGTAGCTTGAAGTGAGAAGTCAACTGCCAGTTAATAGACTTTTTTGCCGTATGAATATACGTTGCCCAGGGTGCACCACGTGGAGGTAAGTCTATCGCAAACCACTTATTATAATCTTGGTTCCTCCTTGACTGCGCTCAGAAAATGAAGGGAGAGAACTTGGGATATGGCATTGATTGGCTGTCTGATTGAGAGGACATTATTGAAGGTCTAAGCAATGAATGCTGTTTACCGTAATAACTCAAGGTTGATTAGTAAATACCTAAATCAATAACTGAACATTCAAAATTGCAATCACTCCTCCATTAAGGCAATTGAAACACCTGCGCTTATTGGAGAAGACACTTTAATAGTTGACTTAAGTCCCAGCAAGATTTGGTGACATGATGGTAAGAAAGATAAGTCCGAAACTCAAATTAAAGTATTGTGTGCTAATAATCCTGGGACAGTGAAAATAAGAAATTATTTATCAAATCAAGGAGCGCGTGGTAAAGATTAATTCGTGACAGTGAAGTATGGGACACAAGATACCCTGGCTACACATCATCAAAATCTTTTTACCCACCACCCTTCATCCTCAAATAAAAACTAGAGTTTTTATGGTACAAATTGACAACTTCTTTCCTAGCCTTGGGCTTGAGTATCCTAGACAAGAATACACTATTGATTTTTTTATAATGGTCTAAATTGCAAAGAACAGGTGCGGCATACCTTCTGTCTAACGTCCAAAACATTCGGAATTTGCAGAAACTGTCCCAAAAGGAGGTCATACTTTTGAAGGAGCTTGTTGGTGCTGAGAGTGGTCTGCAATGAAATGTGAAGGAGATTGAGCTGTTTACCACCGTCGCTTGAGTGATTGTGTTCCTGGGCGCTACCGCAAGTACAGGAATTCGCACCAACAAAGAGATGAATTGGCAACCAACGTTTCTCGTAGGGATGCAAATCAATGATTATCTAAGGAAATAGAGAATAATGNCCCCCCCCCCCCAACTTGCCTCGCTAATTTCACCGCCTTCTCGATTTAGACGAAGGGGAGAGGGAGGAGGTACTTGAGGTCGTACAACTAATAACATTTATTAACCAAATACAAATCAATAAGCTACATTCAGTCTCCCTTATTGGTAGCAGTAACCATATAATAGAGATGTATAGAATGAGTACTTTAAGACGCTACTAAAATATGAGAGAGTGGGGGAATAACATATTGAGAACACGGTGGTGCAAAACCAAAACCGAGAATGCATATTGGCTGCGGACTGGGTATGTCACATCGCATAATTTGAAGTTTCATATGAGCCAGAGCGTACGCCAATCAAAACGCCTGCAGTATATAACTCCCCAACCATGCATTGCTCATTCTAAACACCTCCTCTCAGCAGCGATCCCACTCAAGTAACTCACAGTGTCTTCAAATCAAAATTTACTTACATTGCAAGCACATTGCTTAGTCTCCTGATTGTTCAGAGTGCTAGCCAGTCTCAAACTAGGAGCATACGTATATGCAGAAGTGATCAGTCTGTCTAGAATTGAGTTCGGTTCAACATCCATTTCGACTTTTTCATTTGTGCAGGAGCCAGCGAAAAGACACAATCTAGGCAGTGGAGGACACATTCGGATGGAAGACGGACTTTTTAGCACATTTTGCGTTCTAATTGTATTCACATTTGCCTCATCTTCTTCCAGGGCATCTTGAGAACTGGGGTAGAGTTTCCATTCCGCGGCACCTTCCTCGTCACTAAGCGGCAAACTCACTCGAAAACCACCAAAAGTAATCAATCGGTAGGATATCGCACGAACCCGCCACTAGAGAGAGGGAGAGAGAGTGAGAGAGGTGATCAAGTGAACCCTGATCATAAATTGTGTTTTATAACAACGTTTCAGAGTGTAGCGATGTTAGATTAGCTTAAGTACAGTCTGAATCAAAGTGAATTTTAATAATACATTTGATAGATTAAATAAATTAAATCTTAGCCAATGGAAAATCAATAAACTGAGAGCAAAATAACGCAATAGACAGAAAGGGTTAGGCACAAATAGTCGATTGAGCATCGCGGTCCCGCATCTACTAGCACACTTCATTAAGCCACATATCGATTAACCTTTTGGACACAAATTGAAGTGGTTCTATAGGAAAACAAAGATTAGTGTAAAAGGCACTAATCTGTTTTCACTACCAGTAGTTTTTTTTAATGATAGTCCTTTCAAAATGGATTTAAAAGAAACGCATTTTCAGAGATCTCATAAGACGACTTTTTAAAGACATAAGTACTTATCAGGATATGGAGAGCGCGATAGACTTACCTCCACGTGGTGCACCCTGGGCAACGTATACTCATACGACAAAAAAGTCTATTAACTGGCAGTTGACTTCTCACTTCAAACTACCATCACCCCACTGTATGTCACATTCGACTACTTCCCAGTACTCACCTCACCTTTTTCTACCTTTGCGTCTGTTTCTTTAACATTTTTGAATCACTCTTCCATCTCTCCCCCCCCCCCCCCCCCCCCCCTCGACTTTTTTCACTTTGATGTTCTTTCCCCTCTGTGAAGCTTGAATTCAACTAAAGGGCTAATGATAACTATCAAAACGCCTGCCATTTGTTGTAAATAAATAAATAAAACTTATCAGGATACGACAAATTGCAAGCAGAAAAGCAGCGTACCTTTTCAGTTTTCAATTCAGCAAGAGCAGGAGGAACACATATCGCAAAAACGAACCGATTTCTAATGGAATGCGGAGGCAGAACCACCTTTTCTACATAGTCTTCAGATTCTGGGTCATTTCCGCGGTTCAGAAACAGGGGAACTTGCTCAAAGATGCAGCCTGAAAATGGCTTGAGAGTGATTTCCCTCTAATTTAAAGGCAAGATAGGCTAGTTAAAGTACGGCAGATATAGTCAATGGTAAAAGAAATTAGAAAAATGGACTCACAGCTGGAGGTTTGGAACCCGGAAGGATTTGAACACTTTCAAGTTTTACGATTTGTGCGTCAACAGCAGCATCTTCCTCAATGAGCTCAAAACTCTATAATAAAACAGCAAAATATAATGAAGTATTTAATATAGAAGCCGACAAAGCAAAGCTCAATGTCGTCATGTCTCTCGAGATGAGTAATTCCACAAGTTGTTTCTTAGTCGCATAACAGCATTATTAACATGTGAGGTTGTTCTAACACCCCTCCCCCGCCCCCTCATCTCTACCTTCACATATGAGTTAAAATTAAATGAAGTGGACCACCAAAGAACACAGTCATTGATACCTTACTTAAATAAATTTTACAGTAGAATGGAGAAACCAATTTAACATCTTGGATGGTTGAATATGCAATCAACCTAGATTTCAACTCTGGAGGCATAATAAGAATAGTAGAAAGCTCCATTCTTCTGCTTTGTTGAGCATTTCAATTTGCCATGAGCATTCATTAATTGGAGGATTAGAAAGTTATCCCCTATAAAATCTATTGAATAATAACAAATACTACACCGTCTTCTAATTCTAAAATGTACTCTTCTGTTGATTTTGGATAAGGGGACGCAACTCAATTTAGTAATGGCTACTATGCACAAAGAGCCCAGAAAACGTCCAATCAAGGTCACAATGCAGTGTACTCATTAGAATTGAGTAGATAGGCGAAGTTAGTATCTGACGAAAGTGAAGCACATTCAAGCTGTGGTGTCCCAATGGACGGTTATTAAGTTAACCTAAATTGAAATCCACAGACACCACAGTGTGGACAATTTAGTCAGTAGAAGAAAGCTCTATTAAGTGGAACATGACAAACCCTCCTCTCTCCCGACAAGAAAATGTTATGAATCAAGTACAGACATCTAAATTCATTGCATTACTACATCAGTTAGTAAGACGGATAAAAAATGTGAGGCAACCTACCACCTTATCCAATTCTATTTGAATAGCGAAGGGATTGTCGAAATCAACTTCAATATAGCCCAGATCGCTCGCTATCCAATCCACTGTATCTGAAAATGAAATTGCAAAATAAAAAATTAAGAGATGGCTATAATACATTAATTGACTAGCATCGATAGAAATACCTACTCGAGGAAGAGACATGCGAAGGATGAGTGATGAAAGTCGGTTGGCGAGTGAAGGCCTTGCGTCTTGAGTAGGCATTTGAACCACTCTTAAACGAGGAATCGGGCGAACTTTCCTGAATGGCCACAATGCTGCAGAGAGCTTCGTAGGACATTCTGGAGGGTAGACTGTGAGATGGTAGTTCCGGTATTACTATATTCCTAAACGCGGATAATATTAAGCAGTAGGCACTCATTTATTATGGCACAGCGCTAGAGGCAAAAATACAACCAAACTAAACAAGCTAGGGAGCTCATGCACCTACAGGGAATACAGTCGAACAACTTACGACACATTAATCGGTGCATAAACTTCCAGATACCAGAAAAAGTTCTGAAAGCAACCAAAAAATATTTCACAGGTAAGCGAAGAATAATAATAATTATTCTATCAAATGGCCAGCGTTTTGATGGTTATCATTAGTCACAGAGGGAGAGGAACATAAAATCGAAAAAAGTCGAGAGGGGGGGGGTGGGGAACAGAAGAGCGATTCACAGATGTAAAAGAGGCAGACAGACACAAAGGTAGAAAAAAAAGTGAGGTGAGTACTGTGGAAGGAGTCGAATATGACATACAGTGGGGTGATGATAGTTTGAAGTGAGAAGTCAACTGCCAGTTAATAGACTTTTTGCCGTATGATTATACGTTGCCCAGGATGCACCACGTTGAGGTAAGTCTATCGTACACCCCAAACGTATAATAATAATAATAATAAGGCAGGAATGCACATTCAGGATATTTTTAAGCACCAACTTTAGATAAGAAGTCTGTGGAAATTAGAACAATTGTACAGGGGGTGTTATAACTACACAAAAGATCACTAAGAGGATAGAATAAAGTTGGCTAGCTATTGTCTTCCTCAACAGTTAAGTGCTTCGCAAACTGAGGAGCTGTAACTGGTTAATGCGAATAAGAATAGAAAGGAATTTATTTGAGCAACCAAGCAGGTTTTGAATGCCAATTTGAGTGTAAACTAAGAAAGAAATCATGCCACCAAGTGCAAAAACACTTACGAATTCGCAGACCACGTGGGTTATCAGTGATAAATGGAGAGCTGAGATGTATTCAATTAACTCCCTTCCTGTTGCGTAGGCGGTAGCCTCAAATCTATCACCTTTAACGCCTCTTGATCCACATTTCTACCAATTTTACGTGTACATACCTATGTCATCTTTCATTCTGTCTTGCACTCTCTGCGATGTACTCTAACAATAAGTCCCTATATATCTAGAACGAATGAATGAACAAATCAAAATAAAATTTGGGGACAAGGAAACTATAGAGATTTCTGAAACCTCAAGAATATATATATTTTTTAAAAAGTACCTTCAAATTTTATCACTTCACCATGAGAAGTGGTAAAAGGGAACCTACCTAACAATGGGCATCTTGTCCACATGAAGTTCGACCAATTTGACCAGAGGATGGAGTGTAGAACTGATTGGACTGCCAAAAGAGGACCGAATGGCAGTTGATGTGTCCTTCTTCTCCTCCTCCTCCTCAACCTCAAGAAATGCATCGCCAATAGCCGGTAGAGAAGGCTGGTCAGCTGGTTTGGTTGTAGCCAGTTGCTGAAGGATTTCAATATACCTGGATATATCTGCAGGAGCTGAGGCCTCATGCCACCCGTTTATCAACGAAAACATGTAGCTAAAAGACACACAATGATAGTTAACGTCTGACTGACGATTTTCAGGTAGAGAAATAAGCGAGAATCAATAAAACTCGAATAGACAGGGAAATATGTATTCAGTGAGCTAACTTATTGGACGCCTTAAGCAATACATTGAATAGTGCTCCACATTTCGCTATGCTCGTTTTGACAAGTACACAGTTATGCATGCATCTCCCTTCCCCACTAACCAAGATCAGTCATCTCTTTTCATACTTTCCTTGTGATAGCTCTATATGCAGACCTTTTGCCTGTTTCCCAATAACTTAAGCACATTAGAATTTACTAGACAAAATGAACAAGCACTCAGTTTTATAATATAGAGACGGAAATGAAGATGTTTCCATGTTGAGGTTAGGTTAAAACTTGCATGTCAAATTCGTCTGCTGATATTCATGCAAATGCAGAGAATTGTTATTGATAGACTAAATTGGTGAAAAACGGGCGACGTAAGAGCCTCACCCTAGTAGGGAAGTGCAGTGCTTCCAATTAGCCCTTTGAATCGTTCCGCTAGCAACCTCAATCGCCTTGCGAATCTTTTTAATTACCGACACAAGAAGTTGCCTTTGCAATTTCGGCCATCCAAGCTGCCTAGAGCCTGAGAATACCAATCCACAGACAAAGACGACTCCAGTAGAGCTTCCACAGGGGGTGCGTCGAAAACCCGATGGTGTAGTGGAAAGTTGATAGGCTGAAATGAGTGCAGGGGAACTGAGATAACCTGAACGAATACGGTTGATGTAGGAGAGGCAAATTGGAGATGCATGAGTTGGAGCGGCTGATGGACGAGAGTGGGATGTATGAATGAGATTGAATAGACTATTCTCTAGAAGGTACTGCAGCAAACCAGCCTTGTGAAGTAGACCCAATCGCACATACATATTTGATAAAACTTGATAGCGTTCAAACATGAATGCATCCTGCAAAATGAATGTATTGAAATAATTTGCCCAGTTTTAACACAGTAGAGAAAAGGAGATGAATAAATTGCTTCCTTACGCCGCGTGGAATAGCTTCATTTTGAAGGGTATCGAGGGCCTTGATAGCGGAGTTTCTATTCTGAAAAATGACAAATGGGAAAAAATTATGAAGGTATGTGAAAGAATGCAGTCGTTTAAACCTTGAAGACTAACCGAAACAGTCACAAGATAATCAGCATTCTTGTACATGACTTCAATAACACAGCGAGGAATTGAAGAGCCCTAATGGGTAACAGAGAAGTAAGATGCGATGATAGGAATTGCCGACATTCAACACTTTGTAAAGTGTCAAGAATTGCTCTCACCTTTTTAAGCTGTTGAATGGCCTGCCCAGCCCGAAACAGAGCACTGGAAGAAGTTCGAGGGAAATGAGCACCCTGTTTCTTTACGTTAGCCAGATTCAGCCCATTAACGTCGACTACAAACAAAATTTCACTTCATTCTTCAAGAATAGAGACTAACAGTGGAGGATTCAAGAATCTTTCGCCTTACTAGAAGAAGATATCGTGGAAGACAGGAATACTGAAAGTGGTGTCCACAGTAGATGAGGATCAAGATAGCGCCGTCGACCGCGACTATCAAGTTCACGCAGATGGAGTGAAGCAGAGTAACCAACAAGAAGAGCTACATAAGCAAGGCAGAAATTCATACAGAAGAAACAGGAATTAGGTGAAATGGGGAGAGTTTTATTATTATGAAACGCAACACAGAGTGCTTGATATATTCAACTATTCTACAACTGGCTAATTTAAATTAACTAGTGCGTGGCAGGCGCGGAAAGTGCTAAGAGTTAGGTTGAAGCTCATTACCAATCATAAAGCAGATAACGATTGCTTTTCCTTTGAGAATGAAGACATACTGACCAGATCTCTTATCACCAATTGTCCCAAGCACAAAGTCTTACCTTCATTTGCATTACATGCCGAATTTAGAAGGGCTGAACCTCAATTTTATGAATTGACCTTGGAGATGTTATGCACAATCTCCACTACCCTTCCTGCCTGCACATTTTATTTTATTTCAATCATTTTGAGCTATTACGGTGCCGGCAAAGCAGATTTTCCAAATGTATCAGGGCGAGAGGGATAGAGAGAAATGAGAGAGATTTTTAACTTACCCGACTGCCAGATGGGAGGGTCATTGGGAGTAGAATAATTCAAAGCTTTTCGGTAGTAGAATTGGGCCTTCACAAATTCTCCCAGCTGAACACAAAGGTCCCCGGCAAGTTTGTTCTGTCGACAAAGATACTGGCAAGATGAACTACAAATACAAGAATAAAGTGGAATGCAGAAAAGTAAAAAAATAATCTTAGGAGGCATGTGTGAGCCTAGCAATACATTGTGAATTCTGCATAATTTCAAGCCTTCTCCATAAAACATTGAAGGAGCTCATTAAAGCAGCCATTAGGCATAATTTTACATGCAGTTTAGGCTCGATTAGACCCTATTTGGCAACTAACATTACGTTCTGATGCCAAAAGCCCCTCCGTGCTTTTTGTCCAAAAGCAACTCTTCATGAGCACCTTTTTTAATGAAAATGGGTTGATTTTTTCCACTTTCTTCCTAACACTCAAACTTTACTGTCACACACCTAGGCGACTTGTTCGTACGCTCACTTCCCCCCTCACCCCCCCCCCCCAACTCTTGTCGGGTCCTCACGGCTGATTATTCAATGCACCTTGATCTGCACAATTCTCTGTGACGTACATTTTAGGTCTTGGTGAAAAATTTGTGCTAGCTTCCACAATCCGGTTCATTAACTTCCACAAATATGCGACCCGGTGAATGCCCACTCAGCTGCACACTAATAGGCACAACAACCGCACTATTCAGGCTCAAAGAGTATTACTTAAATTAATAACTAATCTTGAAAGATAATTGGCCAATTAGCGATAGAGTAGGGGGGTAAAAACCATCTCCTTCCTCAATTTCTACGCATCCAAGAGATAGGCGTTCGAGCCCACAACCTTGCCTATTCACGATTTGTCAACTACTTTAGCACCAATAGGGGTAAGTGTTAAGGAAGCTGAAGCTGATATTTGCCCAGCACTCACTAAGGGCACTTGTTCTCAGTGCCCCAGGTAAAGGAATCATAAATGGCTCGATTATATTTCTTCTGTTGGGATGGTAATGGTGACTCCAATTTCGTTAGATCAGGAAGACTCGGTACTTTGGGTAGGAGAGCGTTGAATACCTTTCCAGTAATATCTATCGCGGGTTGAATTATCCTGTTTGCGCATTCAAGGAAAGAAAATACCATGCATTAACCGAATTTTCAACCTGAGTGCTAAACTGGAAGTGTCACTCAATACGTTTGCACCGGTTAAAATTGATAGCCAAGAGAGACAAACCAAGACGTCTTCTGACATTTGGATAATTTGGGTTGGCAATTACGTGGCAATGGGGTTTTATGGCTAGGAGCTCACTACTATGAGCGTTCCAGTTAGCAGTAAAAAGCGATGGTTTTAAAAAAAAAGAAAGAAAAAAAGCATCCAGAGTTAGCCGAAGTTGTAGAAGTTCAATATTTCAATTTCTCCCCGACTGATTTCCGTATAGATTTTAATACATCAGTTCTTTTAGATATAAATTAATAGTCTAAGGATTTCAAATAAAAATTAATTATTAAAAAGTACACGTAAGTTCAAAAATGTCCTTAGAGCTTCCTTAATAGCATGCAAATGTCCGATCATTCTTGAAAGGTCAGGATAAAGAGAGGTAACAAATCAAAATAGCTAGCAACCTTCAATCCTTCAGACGGCAAATTGTGAGATCCGAGTTAGCAAAATTTCTGACTCAACTAAATTGGAAACCTCTTTGGATCATAGTAGCTTTACAAGAAGTTAACGGAGACCCAGCGCTATATAGAGCAGTAATTTATCATTGAATTAAACGCCTTACAGAGGGAAGGGTACAACCTGATGACGATCCACAAAGACACCCGCCTTAGCAGGAAGTCAAGAAGGCATATCTCTTGAGCAGAATCTGGTGGAACACAATCGACGAGCAATCAATGTTAAAATTGCCAATGAGGTGGGAATCGCACACGGATCATCAGTTTTAATTCGTACGGAAAATCTTGGCATGAACGAGCGCTCGGTGGGTTCTAAAGCGTTGCAGGGGCAACAATCGATCCAAAGAGTTGAACTTTCTTCAGCAACTTTGGCAAAGTTGCGCAAGTAAAAGAGAGCCAATTTGTTTAAGCGCTGTGCTACCGGAAATGAAACTTAGATCTACCCATTTGATCGAGAAAACAATTTCCACTAAGAGTGGCCTCCAAAGGCAACACCTGAGTTTTAAAGCTAAAAGATGCGTTACGAAGATCATGACCACTATTTTCTGAGAGTCAAAAGGAGTGATGATGATAAACACCCTAAAAGAAAAGGAAACGGTCAAGTCAAGTTATTTTGAAGGCTGTTTGAAGAAATTCTAGAAAATTCTCGCTAAAATCGGCACGGGAAACTGCACAATCAAATTTTTTCGTCATGACAATGGCTCTGCGCATTATTTAAGAGCTGTTAGGGCCCTGTTGCTCGAATTTCGATGGGAAACACTTCCATATCCGCCTTGTAGTCTAGACCTAGTTCCCTCAGACCTAGTTTTGTTTCCAAAACTGAAAGAAACGAAAAGCATTTAATTTCATGGTGCCAGAGACAGCCCCCCAAACTATTCCCCCATGAGGGAACGTACAGGCAGAAATATAGATTACAAAAGCGACTAGACAACAATGGAACCTATGTAGAAAAACGAATGTAATCCACTGTTAAATAAATAAATAATGGAATTTTTTCCGAGAAATTTTTGACTCACCCCTGTATATTGAGCAAATGCTACGCATTAAACAATTTGAAAAATAGAAATGAAGCACATATTTTCGTTAGCTCATACTGTATTAGAACCTAGATGGGCAGAAGAGCACTTCTAAATTCTTTAGACAAAGTGGTCATAACACTCGACTTGCATCGAAGGCGGGCATGCTGGAGTAGCTCTCTTGAGAAACTCGCATTCTGCCTTGGCCCCCCC